ATAGTATATATATACATATATATAACTATTTTTATATGGGGGCGAGGAGGAGTTTGCCTTTTCATGTAATTGAACACTGTCATGAAAAGTCAAACAGAAACCTCTGTGATACAATTAAATCAAATTCAAAAAAGGAAAAACATGCCACAAACAAATGGTAAAGAGATGTTTTGTGGTATAAAGTTGTTTCTTTTTATAAATTTCAAATGAATACTGTAATGTTTACTAACATATGCAAAGGTATATACAATATGTAGTTCAAAAAGATTGAAGTATCTATATAAGTATGTACCAAAGTTACAGCTTTAGAAACTTTAGGGACTGTTAAGGTGTAAACATTTCATATACGTTCTGGAAGATTATCATTCACGTCACTCAACACAGCAATAAATATACTTACCCAAGTCTTTATCTATAGCATGGACTTTGGTGATCAGTGTTCCAACTTTAGAATCCTCGGGGACTGTTACAGTGTAAACATTTGATGTAAATTCTGGAGGATTATCGTTCACATCACTGAGAAGTATTTCAACAACGGTAGTGCATTCCCATTCAGGTTTGTCTTTATCTTGAACGTGAGCCACGAGATGGTAACGGGGCTGACGTTCTCTATCCAGTGGCTTTTCTGTCTTCAAAAATCCTGTTTAGTATCAAGGTTTACTTTTAATATAATCTAGATATACTAAAAACTCTTATTAGTTTTTTAATACCAGGAATATTAGCCCAGAAATGTAATATTTAGTCTCTAAAATATCACCTTACAATTGTTTAAAATCTTTTTTCCTTAGATCCAGCAAAGGATAAACATAACAGAGTAGCTGAAACAAGGCATGTATAACTTTTATCCATTATTGAGTGTCATAATTATTAAGTTTCCTTTAAAAATATTTTAAGTACTAAATTAAATAAATGTTTAATAAATACTTTAATTCTTCATCTCATACTTAAAACATTATAATTCTATAAATCATTGATATTATAAATGAACAGTATTAAATACAAATTCTTAAACATTATATTTGGAAATTAATGTTAACACACACACATAAAGTGTAAGATTAATTGTTTGTTAACATTAGTATGTTTATATAACACAGTTAATTAGATATACATAATTTACAAAGCATACAAACAACAATGCATAAATAAACTCTGAGAACATAAACAACACTGAGCAGTGGTTCCCAACCTGTGGTATTCATACTCCGTCCTGGGAAGACTTTGTTTCATTTTGTTTTTTGAATTTTGTGCAAAGCTACACGAGGGGTATCTGCACTAGCCATCCCTAATTTAGCAGTGTAAGACTAGAGGGAAGGCAGCTAGTCATCATCACCCACTGCCAACTCTTTTACCATTGAATAGTGGGATTGACCATCACATCATAACACCCCCATGGCTGAAAGGGTGAGCATGTTTGGTGGGAGGGGGGATTCGAACCCGTGACCCTCAGATTGAGAGTCGAGCACCCTAACCACCTGGCAATGTTGAGCACCTTGGGGAGACAAGAAGGGGTGTATGTAAGAACCTTTTAAAAACATTAAAAAGAAATCCAACCCTACACCTCAAAATTGGAGGGCAGTATCCACCACTTAACTATCAGAAATACCCTTGAATTATTATTTTTTTGGTTTAACTTTTTTTGATAATATAAGCCACTCTTTAATATTCCTTTCAACAAATTACACGCATCAGAGTTTCACTGTTGGCTGAAAGGTCTGATTGGGGTTGAGTTTGCTAAGAGCACCTGTGTCAATACACAATCTGAAGACATTGGCTGATAGTCAGGTGTTAGGAACAGTTGAAAATAGAAACGTTCAACTCAAAAAACAAGTTTTAATTTCTTTTCCATCTGACATAACAAGAGTTGAATAAAACGTTAAAAGAACAAGTGTTAGATTATTCACACACCTTCTACTGGATTGATGTAAAAATCTTCAGCTCCCTCTCCAGTCAAGTAATAATGCAGCTGGGCATTCCTTTCCTCATCCTTATCTGTTGCTTCAACAGTCAGGATATAAGTTTTGGGTTCAATACTCTCTGATACGAGTTCTGTGTATTTAGACTGTAAAAAGAAAATATTATCATTTCTTTCATAACATTATATTTACTTAATCAAAATAAAATGTTAAGTTTATCTATTTCTACATATTTTAATTGATTATATTATTTGAATAAATCGCTTAATGAATGTTTTCTGTGGTCCTAAAAACATCTACGAGTGTTTGAGTAATGGTGATTCCATGTTTTGCTGAATTTGTTAATCAATTATTTATACAAACTGAAATAATAATGGGCAAATTAATATTCTTATCATTTAAGTATTTCCAGTATTATAAATATCTCAAAAACAAAATTCATATTGAAGTGTTGTTGTAAAAACAGCATATTTATAACTATAGTACATTAACTTAGGCCTAGTAAAACCAAAGTTTATAAGACTCAAGAAATGTTCCATGAGAAAACACTTAAATTTTATTACTATGTATTCATAATTTTTGGAATATTCGATGAACAAAAATCAAGAATGGCTTTTGTGAGTGATTTAATTACCTTCTGTGCAAATGTTAAGCCATATTTCTGATGTGGCTATACAATATCTTAAGGAAACTTCAATTATCCATACCACTATACGAACAAGTTAGATGCATCATAACTTCAATCAAAATCTCTCTGAAGAATAATGTAACTGTCAAAATACATTTATGATGAAATGATATACATACTGCTTACAGACACCAATTACTTTAAAAAACAATGAAAGTTTAGTATATAGATTACATATAATACACAACATGAAACTTGGTGTGTAGATTATACAGAATACATAGTATGGAGCTTGAAATCTGTATAATACATAGCAAGCTCCATACTATGTATTCTGTATAATACATAGCAAGCTTCATGTTATGTAGTATTCTGTATAATACATAGCAAGCTCCATACTATGTATTCTGTATAATACATAGCAAGCTTCATGTTATGTAGTATTCTGTATAATACATAGCAAGCTCCATACTATGTATTCTGTATAATACATAGCAAGCTCCATACTATGTATTCTATATAATCTATGTGCTTCATGTTATGTAGTATTCTGTATAATACATAGCAAACTTCATGTTATGTAGTATTCTGTATAATACATAGCAAGCTCCATACTATGTATTCTGTATAATACATAGCAAGCTCCATACTATGTATTCTGTATAATCCATATCAAGCTTCATGCTATGTAGTCTTGCTATGTATTATACAGAATACATAGTATGGAGCTTGCTATGTATTATACAAATTACTACATAACATGAAGTTTGCTATGTATTATACACAATACATAGTATGGAGCTTGATATGTATTATACACAATACACAACATGAAAAAAGTTTATTACATTCTTGCTGATGGATTTATTAAAAATCTGCACTAACAAAGTATCAAGCCAGTGTTTCAAACTCTTGCCAAAACTAACTACAATCTATCAAAGAATAATTATATCTGTTTATAAGTGAAGCATGTTGGAGAACAAATAAAGAATGCCAGTGTTTAAATGTCAAAACCCAGTAGAACAACAAAACTGACAGACCTAATTAGGTTGATAAAAAAAAAATCACACTTGATTGTAAACCTTTTTAAAACATTTTCTATACTTTCTCTCAATTGGAAATTAATAAAAAATATTTAAAAGAAAAAAACCTCTGCAGTTTAGTGCAATTTTTTTAATCACTATTAGCACATTTATGATAAAAAACGTTGAATCTAAAATAAAAACAATAGACCCTGTCAACAGGTGGACCCGTCCTCCACAAGAGCAATGATCAACTTTTTTTTCATAACTAACTGTAGTAATTTCATTGAAAACTTTCATATTACATAGACAAAACTATTACACAGAGCAGAGCCAAATATTGTTGATGTTAATCAAACAATTGCATCCTGTAAAAATCAAAAACAGTTACACACACTTGAAGAAGAAAGCTCTCCTTTGTGAAAGGTAAATTTTGATATACACAAAAACACAAGTTGTTTGTTCACTCTTTAGAATATATTCACAGTGAATACAAATATTTACACAAAAATCACATAACGAAACACTATATTCTATAAAGACAACAAAGTAACTCTCTTTCAAATATATATATTTGAAGTTCAATGTATCCTACAGACAGCAAATGATACAACGTTATTTTGACGCAGCTACTTGTAGGTCTAATAGTCTCATTAGTGAATAGTTTGTGAAAAATTTGAGGAAATACTCTACTGAACTTGGAATAAAACAGAAACATTCACTCTGGTTAATGATACTAGGGATAAGTATCTAGTCTTGTCGGATGTTGCACTATTCAATGAAACCTGATCGGATCCAACAGGAGCTGGATACCTGAAACTAATATCCGACTAAAACTAATATTTATCCCATTTATAAATAATATTCTACTAAGTTTAGCTTTTGATGGTAACAACTGTTACAACTTACCATGTAACAAATGGGAGGATTGTCGTTAGCATCCAAAACTTCAATAGCTACTGTAGTGCTGGATACAAATCTTCCATCAGTTCCAATAACTTTCAGTTTGTAGCTAGGTGTTTGTTCTCTGTCGAGGGGCTTGTTGACGTAGATCTCACCATTTCTGCTGATATGAAGCTGATCTTGTGGATTACCATCAATTATGTAAAACTGAACAGGATCACCAACATCACTATCAGGATCATCAATTTCCAACATAATGATAATGGTTCCTGCCAATGCATTTTCAAATATAGAGCTTTCATAGTAATCACGCCTAAAAACTGGAGGGTTGTCATTGTAATCTTTTACTTCTATATGCACCATTGTTTGTGAAGAAAGTTGTGGGGAACCACTATCATGGACAATAACAGAAAAGTTGTACCAGGGCGTTGTTTCCCGGTCTAGATGCGTCTTGACGGTAATCCAGCCCTCGATGGGATCCAGATTAAACACTTTAGCAATATCCTCAGTGTCTGGACCAAACGAAAACACAACTTTAGCATTGGTTGCGATATCAAGATCATAGGCTGCCAATCTTGTTACTGTGTAGTCTACTTCTACATTCTCTGCAACTGTGACTTTGTATGGACTGGATTCAAACACTGGAGTGTTGTCATTTTCATCCATCAGAATAATGCTAACATCAGTGTACGATGCTAAATGGTGTTGGGAGATGGATTCCACTCTGAGAGTTAGATTATAAGTGTCTCTTTCTTCTCTGTCTAGTTCTGCAACTTGCATGATGTGACCCTGGTTGTCAATACTGAAGCTTGACAAGTAAAGTTGAGCTCCTGAATCTTTGTTAACGGGAGCAAAAGAGTATACAACCTCTTCAGGGTAAGTTACGCTTAAAGTTGCGACTATTTTACCAATTTCAGAGTTTTCATTGAGAAAGAACTCATAACAAAGTTTGTCAAACTTGGGAGCTTGTTGATTTGGGCCTTTAACATGGATACTGACTGGGACTTCAGTCTGTAATGGTGGAGATCCTCTGTCTTGGGCTCGGACAAAAAACTGATACACAGTATTTTCTGTAAAAATATCCAAAAAACAAACATATTAAGTCGTCCATCACACTTCGAAATTTGGAACTTTCTATTATCCAACTAATATTGTATCTCCAACTACAAGAAATAAATAACTTTTAAAACTTAATTTGATATATATATACCAAAACTATAAAATAGATCAATTAATTACCTTAACATATATATATACCAAAACTATAAAAATAGATCAATTAATTACCTTAACGTGTCTATATACCAAAACTATAAAATAGATCAATTAATTACCTTAACGTGTCTATATACCAAAACTATAAAATAGATCAATTAATTACCTTAACATATATATATATATACCAAAACTATAAAAATAGATCAATTAATTACCTTAACGTGTCTATATACCAAAACTATAAAATAGATCAATTAATTACCTTAACATATATATATATATACCAAAACTATAAAAATAGATCAATTAATTACCTTAACGTGTCTATATACCAAAACTATAAAAT